CCACCCTCTGAGATTCTGCACTCTGTTACATGCTTCCACGTCTCTGGATCCACCCCGTTCATCAATTTATTTTGTTAATTAGATTCCACATATGGGTGAGATCATGTGATACTTGTCTTTCTCTGACTGGCTTATTTTGCTTAGCATAATACTCTCTAGGTCCCTCGATGCTGTCTCAAAGTGTAAGAGATTCTGCTTTTTTACTACTGCACAGTATTCCAAGGTATAAATGTACCACAGTATTTTTATTCATTTGTCTATTGCTGGGCACTTGGGCTGTTTCCAAACATTAGTTATTGTAAATAATGCTGTTATGAACATAGGGGTGCATATATTCTTTCTGATCGGTGTTTCAGGTTTCTTAGGATATATTCCCAAAAGTGGTATTGCTGGGTCAAATGGAAGTTCCATTTTTAATTTTTTGAGGAATCTCCATACTGTTTTCCATAGTGGCTGCACCAATCTGCATTTCTACCAGCAGTAAACTAGAGTTCCCTTTTCTTCACATTCTCGTCAGCATTTGCTGTTTGTTGACTTTTTGATGGTAGCCATTCTGACAGGTGTGAGGTGATACCTCATTATGGTTTCAATTTTTATTTCTCTGATGATTAGTGCCTTTGAGCATTTTTTATGTCTCTTGACCATTCGTATGTCCTCTTTGGAGAAATGTCTATTTAGGTCTTCTTCTTCTTCTTCTTCTTCTTCTTCTTCTTCTTCTTCTTCTTCTTCTTCTTCTTTTATTTTTTAAAAATATATTTTATTGATTTTTTTACAGAGAGGAAGGGAGAAGGATAGAGAGTTAGAAACATCGATGAGAGAGAAACATCAATCAGCTGCCTCCTGCACACTCCCTACTGGGGATGTGCCCACAGCCAAGGTACATGCCCTTGACTGGAATCGAACCTGGGACCCTTCAGTCCACAGGCTGATGCTCTATCCATTGAGCCAAACCGGTTAGGGCCTTCTTCTTTTTTTAATTCTTTATTGTTTAAAGTAGTACATGAGTCTCCCTTTTTCCCTATTGAAATAAGCCAGTCAGAGAAAGATAAATGTCACATGATCTCACTTATTTGTAGGTCTTCTTATTTTTTAAAAAATATATTTTATTGATTTTTTACAGAGAGGAAGGGAGAGGGATAGAGAGTTAGAAACATCGATGAGAGAGAAACATCGATCAGCTGCCTCCTGCACACTCCCTACTGGGTATGTGCCCACAACCAATGTACATGCCCTCGACTGGAATCGAACCTGGGACCCTTGAGTCCGGAGGCCGATGCTCTATCCACTGAGCCAAACCGGTTAGGGCTTCTTCTTATTTTTTAATTGGATTGTTTGCCTTCCTTTTGTGTTATTGGCCTACTCAGGTGCTCTTTATATATTTTGGATATAACCCCTTATTAGATGTATCATTGGCAAATATATTCTCCCATACAGTGGGTTCCCTTTTCATTTTGATGGTGGTTTCTTTTGCTGTGCAGAAGAATTTTATTTTGATGTAGTTCCATTTGTTTATTTTCTCCTTAGTTTCTTTTGCCCTAGGAGATGTATCAGTAAACATATTGCTATGTGACATGTCTGATATTTTACTACCTATGTTCTACTCTAAAATTTTTCTGGTTTCATGCCTTACATTTAAGTCTTTTATACACCTTGAGTTTATTCTTGTTTATGGTGTAAGTTGGTGGTCTAGTTTCATCTTTTTGCATGAATCTGTCCAGTTTTTCCAGCACCATTTGTTGAAGAGACTGTCTTTACTCTATTATATGTCCTTGCCTCCTATGTCAAATATTAATTGGCCATAATGGTTTGTCAGTTTCTGAGGTTTCTGTTCTGATCCATTGGTCTATATGCCTGTTCTTGTGCCAGTATCAAGATGTTTTGTTTATAATGTCTTTATAGTATAGTTTGATATCTGGTATTGTGATCCCTCTTCCTTCATTCTTCTTTCTCAAGATTGCTACAGCTATTTGGGGTCTTTTATGGTTCCATGTAAATTTTTGGAGTTCTAGCTCTGTGAAGAATTGCATTGGTATTTTACTAGGGATTATGTTAAATCTGTAGATTGCTTTGGGTAATATGGACATTTTAATGATGTTAATTTGACAATCCCTGGACATAGTATCCTCTTCCATTTGTTCGTATCTTCCCTTATTTTTTTTCAATGTCCTATAGTTTCCCAAGTATAGGTCTTTTACCTCCTTGATTAAATTTATTCCTAGGTATATTTTGTTATTGATGTTGTTGTTGTTGCAATGGTAAATGGGATTGCTTTTTTAGCTTCTCTTTCTGAGAGTTCATTATAGGTGTATAAAAATGCCATCAATTTGTGCATGTTGATTTTGTAGCCCGATACCTTGCCATATTCATCTATTAAGTCTAAACTCCTGTCTTTAGGGTTTTCGATGTACAATATCATGTCATCTGTGAATAATGACAGTTTTATTTCCTCCTTCCAATTTGTATGCCTTTTATCTCTTCATGTTGTCTGGTTGCTGTGGCTAGGACTTCCAGTACTGTATTGAATAAGAGTGGTGAAAGCAGACGTTCTTTCCTTGTTCCTATTCTTGAGGGAAATTCTTTTAGTTTTTGCCCATTGAGTATGATGTTGGCTCTAGGTTTGTGATATATGGCCTTTATTATGTTGAGGTATGGTCCCTCTATTTCCACTTTACTGAGAGTTTTTATCAAAACAGGACTGGATTTTATCAAATGCTTTTTCTGCATCAATTGATATTATCATGTGATTTTTATCTTTCAATTTGTTAATGCAATGTATCACATTTATTGATTTGTAAATACTGTACCAGCCTTGCATCCCTGGAATAAATCCCACTTGGTCATGGTGAATGATCTTTATATATTGATTTCAGAGAGGAAGGGAGAGGGAAAGAGAAATAGAAACATCAATGATAAGAGAGAATCATTGATTGGCTGCCTCCTGCACACCCCCTACTGGGAATCAAGTCTGCAACCAGGCATGTGTTCTCATTGGCAACCCCCCAGAGCTGAGATATCTCTCCAGAACCAGCCAGATATCTCTGTGGGAACCAGCCATCCCTTTCATGCCTCCGCCCTTCCTGCCAGTCACTGTGTTGTCTCCCTTGGTTATCTTTCTGTCCTTGGTTATCATAGTTCTCTCCAGCTAGTCTTCAGTTGATTATTCAGGATGTTTTCTCGTTTTTGTATTTTAGTTGTAATTCCAGTTTGTTCCTGGGAACACGACAGGTGGAGGTGGACCTCAGAGTGCCTCAGACTGACCACAGCTACAACAGGATGCTGAGAGCCAAACTTGGACAGCTCCTGACATTGGCCGATACAAAAATTCCTCTTGGGAGGCCTGTAATCAGTATAAAAAACAGTGAGCCTCAGACAACATAATCTGCCTAGTTGAACTTTACTTGGCTGGTTTTTTTTTTCTTTTTTCAATATTTTCTTTATTGAAAATGTTTTTCAATATTTTCCCCTTTTTATTGCTTAGGTATTATTATTGCTAATATTTTTTATCTTTTCTCTCTTGTTTCTTTCATCTCTTATTGGCTTCCATTCTTTTCTTACTCTATCTTTTTTTCTTTCCATTCTTTATTTCACTTTGTCTTTCTTCCTTTTTTTACTTTGCATATTTTTTCTTTCTCTGCCTTCATGTATTTTTTTACATTTTAATTTTCCTACTCTCTACTCTTATTTTTTGCTCTCCACTTTTCCTTTCAAAATATTTTTTCTGACCCTTTTCTTTTCCAGTATTCTCTTTATTTTTTATTTTACTATTAGTATTGTTATCTTTTTCTCTCTCTTTCATTTTTTTATTGTTCTTGTTCCCTTATCCCTTTCCTAATTCTCTTTTCTTTTGTGGTTGTTTTTACAGTTGTTGTCAGGATGTATTGTATGCTTTTGTTTGTTTCCTGCTTGTTTGGTTTTGTTTGTTTTTCCCTGTCACCACCTGTACAGCAGCTTGCATAACATAGTTATGGCTGAGCCTTACAGTTACCAAACTGAGAGGAGAGCCCACCCACAAATGGGAAAACAATAATCAAGATCCATTTAAAACAGGAGAATCCAAATAACCCACAAAAGTGTCACTCCTAGACTGAAGGTCAGACTTCACCACTCAGTAATTCAAGGAGACTTCACCACTGGGTGTCACAGGACATTTACTACAAAAGCCCACACCACGAAAAATGAGTCATAATAAATATAGCCACAAACACAAAGAAACAACTAAAATGGGGAGACAAATAAATTAAGAGAAGAAAAACTGCCTGAAAACATCCTAACTGAGATGGATGTAAGCAAATGATCATGCATAGAATTCAGAGTAATGGTTATAAAGATGCTCAAGGAACTTAGTGAGGACTACTATATCACCATGAAAAAGAACACAAAAAGCATGAATAAGAAACAGGCAGAGATGAAGAATACTATATCTGACATCAAGAATACGCTGTAAGGAATTGAAAACAGGCTTGATGAAACAGAGGAATGAATAAGTGAATTAGAAGACAAGGTAGAAAATATCAACATAATCAGAGAAGCAAAACAACAACAAAAACAAAAACAACACTTAAAAAGCATGAGGAGAGTTTAAGGGAACTTTGAAATGGAACAACATCTGCATCATAGGGGTAGAAGAGGGAGAAAAATGTGATCAAGAGATAAAGTGTTTGAAGAAATAATGACAGAAAACTTCCCTAACCTGGTGAAGGAAACAGTCATATAATTTCAAGGAGCAAAGAGGGTATCAATCAAGATGAACCCAAGGAGGCCACAAAACACATCATATTTAAAATGAAAAATGTTAAAGACAAAGAGAATCTTAAGGGCAGCAAAAGAAAGAAAGACAGTTATCTACAAGGAAGCTCCCGTACAGCTGTTAGCTGATTTCTCAACAGAAATACCATACCCCAGAAAGAAATGGCATGAAATATTTATTTATTTTTTTGGCATGAAATATTTAAATTAGTAAAAATGATCTACAACCAAGACTATTCTATCCAGCAGGGCTATCATTCAGAATTGAAGGTGAAATAAAGAGCTGCACAGACAAAAAAAGCTAAAGGTGTTTATTGCCACCAAACCTGAAATGCAAGAAATGTTAAAGTGCCGGAGTCCATTCGTTGTCTTCACTAGCTGAGTTTAGACAGAGACCCCCCCAAAAGCTAGTAGCCATTGAAAGTCCTAGTAAAGGTCAGGGCTGTGCACCACCCAGTTAATCTAGGAACCACTTAGTTAATTTAGGTAATAATAGTTGAAGCATCCCCATCTTAGTTCCCTTAATTCCTTAGATAGTTATGTAGATCCTTGTTGATTATTGTTAATCAGTTACTCTGCCTACACTCGGAAATCTATTGATAAGCTAATCAGTTACTCTGCCTACACTCAGAAATCTATTGATAAGCTAATCAGTTACTCTGCCTACACTCGGAAATCTATTGATGAGTTAATCAGATACTTTTGTCTACTCCTGGAAATTGCTGATCTGTGTGTCATTGAAACTTCCTTACCCTAAGGGCTACTCCAGATCAATAAAGGATTGGAGCAGCCTGAGCATGGGTGGAAGTCCCTCTCCTTGAGTTGGACTTTCCCGCCTGGTCCTCCAATATTGCAAAATTATCTCGTGTCTTTTTCTCTCATTTGCTGTGCGGCTCCTCTTTCAGGTACCGAACCCTACTCCACGCGGGACGTGGAAGGAAACACCCAACATTAAAGAGACTGCTGTAAGAAGAAATAGAGCAAAATAGCCATAAAGAATAAAAATGGCAATAAATGTGTACCTATCAATAATAAACTTAAAAGTAAATGGATTAAATGCTCCAATCAAAAGATATAGGGTAGCTGAATAGATAAGAAATCATGACCCATATATGTGATGTCTACAAGAGACCCACCATAGTACAAAAGACTCACGAAGCATGAAAGTGAAGAAAAAGAAAAAAAAATTCCTTGCGAATGGAAACAAAAATAAAGCAGGTGCAGCAATACTTATATCTGACAAAAGAGACTTCAAAGCAAAGGCATAAAAAACACAAAGAAGGCCACGATATAATACTAAAGGGATCAATCCAAGAAGGGAATATTACCCTGGTAAATATATATGCACTCAATATATGAGCATCTAAATATACAAAAAAGCTCTATGTGGACTTTCAGGGAGAGGTTGACAGCAATACAGTCATAGTAGGGTACATTAACACCCCACTGACGTCACTGGATAGATCTTTCAGACAAAAAAATCAAAGAGGAAACAGTGATCTTAACTGATATACTAGATCATATGGATTTAATTGACATTTACAGAAAATATCACCCCAAAGCTACAAAATACACATTCTTCTTAAGGGCACAAGGGACATTCTCAAAGAAAGACCACATATCAGACATAAAATACTTCTCTACAAGATCAAGAAGCTTGAAATCATATCAAGCATCATCTCAGATCACAGTGGCATGAAACTAAAAATTAATTACAATAAAAACACTCAGGAGAACCAAGATGGCAGGATCAGTAAACACCTATACTTGTTGCCTCTCACAACCACATCAAAATTACAACTAAAAGGCAGAATAATTATCACCCAGAACCGTGGAAAAGCTGGCTGTGTGGAAGCTCCACAACTAGAGAGGTGAAGAAAATGCATTGAGACTGGTAGGAGGTGTGTGCGGAATGGGCTGGAACCCGGGTATGCTGCTTTTTTAATCAGGAGGGAGATACAAGCTCCAGCTTGCTCTGAACTCCAGTTCTGGGTGAGACTCTGGGGGACCCAGACACATACGGGGAGAAACTGGACTGTCTGGCATAGGGACAGGAACATGAGGGTGGCTTGCTTTCAGAGGTGCTCACAGTGATCATTGTTCCTGTGTGGGGACGCAGGGATGTGGGGACCTCTCTGGTGCAGGGCTGACTGGCAGCCATTGCTATTTGCTCCACCCTGGTGATTCCCTGAGACCCCATCCCACCCAATTTACAACCCCATCCAAGCTGTGTTCAGTGGCTTTTGCATATGAATGTCCTTTCTCAGCCTAAAACCTGTCAAACAGGCAGTACCAGCAGCAGCTTGCCTTGCTACACAGCTGGGCCTTGTCTGAACACTTCCAAACTCGATACAAAGAGGAGGAATCTGCAGATCTCTCTATAGCTCCTGCTGGGTGGCTCCAGGAAATGGCTTACTTTGTACCTCCTTGGAGATCCAAAAGCCAGTGTACCCAGTGGTCAGTGTGAGACCATACCCGATTACAACTCTTCACATCCATAAGAGATGCACTCAGGGGCAGACTCAGTGAGCACAATGTCCTGCCCCATAAGGGTGTCTCCTGCACAGCAGCTCTTCCAGTGTAGACACAGCTGGTCCTCACAGCCAATTGGCCTGGAGGTTAATTCCTCCCAGTGATACCAACAGCAATCAAGGCTTAACACTTTGCGGACCACATAGAAATCTCTAAGACATACGCCAGGGACCGCACGTTTTTGGGCAAACTGCACGTTATTTAAATCATCATAACTACAGATCATAATGCGCTTTAGGTGTTGTTTTTCAATAAACAAACAATTAAAGTTCCTAGTACTTTTTTAACGTATGGTACTGTGTAAAACATTTTCCTCTATGAAGAGGGACCAAACAAAATTTACATAAGTATCTAGATTCGCTCCTTTTTCCATGGGCGGCACAAACTCTGCAGGCTCTTGTAGGAAATTTTTTCTTTCCACTCGCTGGAATACACGTAGGTTCATGCTGCTTCATATAACCTGACAACCTTTTGGGTGGATCTTTACGAGGTGCTCTCCTTGCAACCCCAGGGGAAGGGCTGGACAGATTTGTCTCTGGTTCCGGAGAGCCTTCATTATTGTCATCCGTTATCCAGTCTCTCACCACCGATAGCAGAAACTGTTTATACTTCATTTTTGCTTGTGGATTGAGGACGTTGTACACTCTAAATGAATTGAAAAGTCCACAGTTTATAAGGTACAGCACTACTTTTTTTGTCCATTTCATCGTTTTCCTTAGAATGGAACAACACGAAAGGAATTGATCCGCACGGTCAATGCCTTTCACGTGGGCATTGTATTCCTTGATGCAGGTAGGTTTTACAATATTCTCTCCCATTTTTCTATTTTTTTTTCCTGTTGTCGAGACAGAAGTGTCATGGATCGTTGATATCATTCGGACAACTCGCTTGTCTTTCCATGCTAGGAGAAGAATATCGCCTTTTCTGGAAAATATTATGTCACCTTTTTTCATTCTTGATGTTTTCATTTTCAAATTTGGCGGTAAACCTCTACTCTCCCTAATAGTCCCACAGACTCTAGTTTTGTTCTGTAGTAGCAATTCAGCAGTAGATGTAGCATTGTAATAATTATCCTGGTAAATATGGTGCCAGATGCCAAGATAGGGTCCAAGGACTGAAAGAACAGTTTCTTGCAATTTCCTTCCTTCAGCAGTGTATATCTCCATATTGCAGATATAGCCGGTGTCACTCTCGCACACCATCCGAACAAGTAAACTGTATTTTGTTATTTTAGCTGGGTTGTACGTGCGAAATTTGAAACGTCCTCTCCATGGAATCATTCCCTCGTCCAAAGACAACTGTTGCTTTGGTTTGTATATTGTTCGAAATTTATGCAGGAAATAATCCAGCACAGGTTGGCTCTTGAAAAGTCTCTCCGAGCGACTGTCCATTTTGGCATTATCATTGAAATGCCAGAATGTCCATATTTGCTCAAATCTATGGAGACTCATTGTCTGTGGAAATATAGGGTTACATATCAAAGGATCTGTTGACCAATAGTCTTTCCAGCTATCTTTTCTTGTTTGACCCATCAGAATAATTAGGCCAAGGAATTTCTTGATGTCCTTCTGTGTAACCGGAGACCACTTTAGTGTTCTAGATGGTGTTTTGCATTTCATTGCGGTTTGATGGTGATAGTTGGACAGCTCTTTGCACAACATCTCAAACAATTCATCACCAAAAAAGAGATTGGTCACAGAGGGTACAGAGTCACACTGAGACGGAAATGTAGTGACCCCAGCATGACCTTCAAACATTTGTAAGCGTGGTGGTGTGTCAATTTCAGACCAACAATTATCAGTAGCTTTGTCAGTGTCGGAATCACTTGAAAGCACCGCCACCTTGCGCTTCCTTACAGGTCTAATAATTTCACTGTCAGTAGAATCAGTAGAATCGTCTCCGGAATCGTCAAAACAGTCATCTGCATCTTCGATCTCACTAGGAATATCTGATAAATTATCGTTAAATACTTCCGGAAGTGTATCAGTTTCGTTGGTTTCCTTCCTTTTTCTGAGAGAGGGCATTTCTAAAAGCGCCAGGAACTTGAAGACGAAGATTATTCCAATGACCAAAATACAATGTAACTGCAATGCTTTATGGGTTCGTGCAATTATATAGTTTTTCGTAGATTGACCTGCACAGTTTCCACCAATGAGATCGCTTCATTCGATGTGGACTGTGCCGCGCCTGCATGGCCAAGGGTGTCTCTGAGTGGGGGGGTGAAAGGATTAAGGAAAGACAGACAAGAGAATAACAGCTGGGTCTTGGTGGGACGCTGCTCCCTGAAGAGGAGACAACGCCAGCGCCCACAAGCCGTGTCTTTATTTTATAGCAGATGCCACGAGGCAAAGTAGGGGCGTGATCACATTGTTTACAGCATTCTCGTGAGTCTCAACCTCACTCAACTACATGCACCCGAACTCTATCACAAGGCACGTGGCGCTACGTGTTTGGACCATAGGTTCAAGCTTACAACCACAGCCGTTGGCTATGATTGTGCTGGGAGGGCCCTGCCCTCCAGCTGGGACTTGCACGTGGCAGTGAGAGGACCCTGTCCTTTCATTAGTCTGAGGCTTGAACCTGGCCAAAACACTGTAACTGCGCCCCACAGTGGACAAGATAGTGTGTTGACATCTAAGGTCCATAACAGATGGCACGTGAAAAACGAGAACACTTGTGAGCAGTCCTTAACATGGTGCTCGAAACACGAGAAAACTTGTGAGCTGTCCGAAAAGTGTTAACTACAACAAGACTGTGCACACAGCCCACAAAGGGTTGCACCAAGAGTGTCCACCTCAGGTGACTGGGGAGACTGAGCCACTGGGTCCTATAGGACACCTACCACACAAGGCCACTCTATCAACTCAAGGAGACTTAGCAGCTATCCAATACATAGAAACAAACACAGGGAAGCAGCCAAAATGTGGAGACAAAGAAACATGTCACAAAGGAAAGAAATGGAGGAAAGCAAAATACTGAATATAGAGTTCAAAACTACAGTTATAAGGTTACTCAAGAATCTTCTAGAAACCTCTGAGGAACTTAGTGAGACCTCTAAGAATCTTAGTGAGAATGCAAAAAAAAAAAAAAAAGGGAAAAGGACCAGTCAGAAATTAAGCATACACTAACTAAAATGAAGAATAATATACAAAGATTCAACAGTAGACTAGAGGATCCCAAGAATCAAGTCAAAGATTTGAAATATGAGGAAGCATAAAACACCCAACCAGAAGAGCAAAAAGAAAAAAGAATAAAAAAAATGAAGATAGTGTAAGGAGCCTCTGGGACAACTTCAAGCATACCAACATCTGAATTATTGGGGTGCCAGAAGAAGAGAGAGAGCAAGATATTGAAAACCTATTTGAAGAAATAATGACAGAAAACTTCCCCTACCTGGTGAAAGAAATAGACTTACAAGTCCAAGAAGCTCATAGAACCCCAAACAAGAGGAATCCAAAGAGGACCACACCAAGACACATTATAATTAAAATGCCAAGAGCAAAAGACAAAGGGAGAATCTTAAAAGCAGCAAGAGAAAAATAGTTAGTTACCTACAAGGGAGTACCCATATGACTGTCAGCTTATTTCTCAACAGAAACTATGCAGACCAGAAGGAAGTGGCAAGAAATATTCAAAGTGATGAATAGCAAGAACCTACAACCAAGATTACTCTACCCAGCAAAGCTATCATTTAGAATTGAAGGTCAGATAAAGAGCTTCACAGGCAAGAAAAAGCTAAAGGAGTTCATCACCACCAAACCAGTATTATATGAAATGCTGAAGGGTATTCTTTAAGAAAAGGAAGAAGAAGAAAAAAGTAAAGATAAAAAATTATGAACAACAAAGTGACAACAAATACATATCTATCAACAAGTGAATATAAAAATCAAATGAATAAAAATTCTGATGAACAGAACAAACTGGTGAATGTAATAGAATCAGCGGCATGGAAAAGGAGTGGACTGACAGCTCTTTGGAGGAGGGGGTGTAGGGGGAGCAGGAAGAGATTGGACAAAAATCTTACACCTATGGATGAGGACAGTGGTAGGGGGTGAAGGCCTGGGGTTGGGTGGGAACCGGGTGGAGGGGAGCTATTGGGGGTGGAGGGGGGAAGAACATCTGTAATAATCTGAACAATAAAGCTTAAAAAAACACTCAAAAACATTAAAACACATGGGGTCTAAATAGCATGTTATTAAATAATGAGTGGCTTAACAATGAAATCAAGGAAGAAATAAAAAACTTCCTAGAAACAAATGAAAATGAACATATAACAAACTGAAATCTGTGTGACAGAGTGAAGTAGTCCTGACATGGAAGTTCATACTACTAAAGGCTTACATCAAGAATTAAGAAAAATCTCTATTAAACTATCTAACCTTACAACTAAAGGAATTAGAAGGAGAAAAACAATAAAATCCCACAGTAGGTAGAAGGAAAGAAATAATAAAATCAGAGTGGAAATAAATGACATAAAGACTAAAAATACACAAAATCAATGAAACCAATAGCTGTTTCTTTGAAAAGATAAACAAGATTGATGAACCTTAGCCAGACTCATCAAGAAACAAAAGGAAAGGACGCAAATAAATAATATCAGAAATGAAAGTGAAGTAACAACTGATACCACAGAAACACAAAAGATTGTAAGAAAATACTATGAATAATTAACAATTCGGGCAACATGGGAAAAATGGACAAATTCCTAGAAACATACAATCTTCCAAAGCTCACTCAAAAGGAATCAGAAAATCTGAATAGACCAATAACAACTAATGAAATTGAATCAGTAATAATAATTTAAAAAAACTTCCAGAAAAGTAGCACTGGATCAGATGGCTTCACAGAGGAGTTTTACCAAGCATTCAAAGAAGAACTAACATCTATCCTCCACAAATTATTCCAAAAATTGAAGAGGAAGGAACACTTCCAATCCCTTTTTGTGAGGCCACCATTGTCTGAATTCCAAAACCAGATAAAGACACTTCAAAGATATGAAATAACAGGCCGATATTCCTGATGAACATAGATGATAAAATCCTCAACAAAATATTAACAAATTGGTTCAACAAAAATTCAAAGGATCATACACCATGACTTGGAATAAATCTAAGTGGGATTTATTCCATGACTTGGAATAAATCCAAGTGGGATTTATTCCAGGGATACTAGGCTAGTACAATATTTGCAAATCAATTAATGTGATACATCACATGAAAAAAATGAAAGATAAAAACCACATGGTCATATCAATAGATGCAGAAAAAGCTTGTGACAAAATCCAGCACCCATTTTTGATAAAAATTCAGCAAAATGGAAACAGAAGGATAATAACTCAAAATAATAAAGGCCATACACTACAATCCTAAACCCAACATCATACTCAAGAGGCAAAAACTAACAGCATTTCCCTTAAGAATAGGAACAAAGAAGGCATCTCTGCTTTCACCACTCTTATTCAGCATATTCCTAGAAGTCCTATCTACAGAAATCTGACAAGAAGAAAAAATAAAAGGCATCGATATTGGAAAGGAAGTAAAACAGTCATTATTTGCAGATGATATGATATTATACATGGAAAACACTATAGAATCTACCAAAAGAAACTAGAGTTAATGAATAAATTTAGCAAATTAAGAGGATACAAAATTGACATTTAGAAATTGATGGCACCCTAACCGGTTTGGCTCAGCGGATAGAGCGTCGGCCTGTGGACTCAAGGGTCCCAGGTTCGATTCCGGTCAAGGGCATGTACCTTGGTTGCGGGCACATCCCCAGTGGGGAGTGTGCAGGAGGCAGCTGATCGATGTTTCTCTCTCATCGATGTTTCGAACTCTCTATCCCTCTCCCTTCCTCTCTGTAAAAAAATCAATAAAATATATTTTTAAAAAAAGAATAATTATAAAAAAGAAATTGATGGCATTTTTAAACACCAATAATAATCTCTCTGAAAGAGAAACTAAAAAATAAAATCTCTTTTATCACTGCAACAACAACAAAAAATAAGATACCCAGGAATAATCTTAACTAACGAGGTAAAATACCTGTACTTGGAAAACTATGGGACTTTGGAAAAAGAAATAGAAGAAAATACAAACAAGTGGAAGCATATACCATGTTCATGGATTGAAAGAATTAACATCATTAAAATGTTTATACTACTAAAGCAATATATAGTTTCAACCCAATCCCTATTAAAATACCAATGGCACATTTCACAGATCTAGAATAAATAATCCAAAAATTTATATGGAACAAAAAAGACCCCTAAAAGCCACAGCAATCATGAAAAAGTAGAAAGTTGGAGGGATCACAATACCAGATATCAAATTATACTATAAAGCTATTGTAATTAAAACAGTTTGGTACTTGCACAACAACAGGCATATACTAGTAGATCAATGGAACAAAACAGAGAACCAAGAAATAGACCCAAGCTATTACACTCAATATTTGATAAAAGAGGCAAGAACATAAAATAAAGACAGTTTTCAATAAATGGTGTTGGGAAAATTGGACAGGTATAGGCAAAAAATAAAAGTAGACCACCAACTTACACCATATACAAGAATAAACTCAAATTGGATAAACACCTTAATTGCCAGGCATTACACCCTAAAAATATTAAAAGAAATCATAGGCAGAAAAATCTTAGACATCTCATGTAGCAGAATTTTCACAGATACATCTCCTAGGGCCGTGGTCGGCAAACTGTGGCTCGCGAGCCACATGCGGCTCTTTGGCCCCTTGAGTGTGGCTCTTCCTAAGCCTTAGGAGTACCCTAATTAAGTTAATAACGATGTACCTACCTATATAGTTTAAGTTTAAAAAATTTGGCTCTCAAAAGAAATTTCAATCGTTGTACTGTTGATATTTGGCTCTGTTGACTAATGAGTTTGCCGACCATTATCCTAGGGCAAGAGAAACAAAAGAAAAATAAACAAATGG